ACTTAGGTTTCAATGATGCGGCAGTAATTTCTGGCACTTCTGTGCTCTCAAGACTAGTGCCACAACGCCAGAAAGAATGTCACCAAAATGCTCTATTTCTAATAGAAATTCAAATTTTTATTTTAAAATACTTTTTCATATTTTGGATTAATGTTACATAATATTCCAAGGAGTGGTGTATATAAGTTTCCAATATTTAGAGGCTTTCGTAGGAGGGGGCTTCCAAATATAAGAATATTTATATTTAACCTAGTGAGGCATCAAATAGTGCCCATGAGAAGGCACCATGTAAGAAATCAATAAAAACCATAATATAAGTATTATATGTTAGGAATCCCTAAACCCCCAAACAGCTGGGGCCAATAAAAATGTTTCCAAGATATGGTATGAAGCTTTTTGGAGTTTGTGTCATCGTGGAAAAGAAACCTAGAACATGTTTTACTAATAAATTTGCAATAATACTTTGGGAGTAAAATGCCTCTAATCTAGTAAGAGATGATATTACAGATGATGAATTTGAGAAAATCTACCTGCAAAAGAAAGAGTTTTTACTTTCCAACAAGCTAGGAGAGCTGAATTTTTTTTAGAAGAGGCTGAAAGTTAAAATTAGTAAGCCTTTTTGTAGAAATAGGAAGCCTAAGGTATTTCATAACTTGGTGGGAAAGGTTAATGTTCAAAGCATTTCATATATCAACTACAGAAGAAGAACCATTAAAAAAATGGTAGAACTTTAACTGTGATTGATGTAGAGGCTAGAACATAAAGTAAATTGCTCCAAAATATTCTTTAATTTCTCAGCATTATCAACCTTAGCTTTCCCAAACACAAGAATATCATCAACATATACTAAGTGAGAAATATTTTTATCACCAGCAATAAGCCCTCAAAAGGATTATCACAAGATGCATCATCAAACATATTAGAGAAGGCTTCCATGATGATACAAAATGAGCAAGGGGATAAAGGGTAGCCCTGACAAAGACCATATGTGGAGCCAAAAAATGCCTCTAAAGCACCATTAAGTCAAACTGAGAAGAATACACCCTCAATACAACATTTAATCCAAGAGATGAATGAATGAGGAAAACCTTTTTGAGCTAACATGGAAAGGAGAAAATCCCTAAAGATAGTGTCAGAAGCCTAATTAGTATCAAACTTTTCTCTAGCATTGTAGTAGAATTCACTTAATAGTTCAGATGCAAGTAAAATGTTGTCAGTAGAGATTATTCTATAAATAAATTTGGCCTTATTAGAGTGAATGATAATTGACTTGTTGTTATGCATCTTATTTGTAAGAGGTTTTGTCATGGTTTTATAGAAGTCATTACATAAAGAGATGGGCCAAAAATAGGATATATTAGGAACATGATTGCTTTTAAGAATAAGAGCAATAGATGTAGCTTTAGCATACCTCATCATAAAACCAAAAATGCTTAATTTCCCTACAAAAATGAGGTCCCATAACATCCCAAGTGTCTTTAATAAACTCAAAAGTGCAGAAAGCTAGGCTGGGAGTATAGGAGACTGAAACTGAGAAATTTATCTTTTTGTTTCCTCATAAGAGATAGGAGAAACCAAGGAAGGGAGGAGGTGAGAGGGGTTGGTGTTATCAATAGGGATGTGGAGGAAGTCAGAGAGAGGAGACTTAAGGGAGTTAAAAAGCACTTTAAAGTGATTGATAATAGTAGTAAAAATATCTTTAGGATCAAAAAAAGCCTCCGTAGGAGAGGTAATTTCCTTTATTCTATTTCCATTATGCTTAGATACGATTTTAACATATAGAAATCCAAGATCATCTTCTCCACAAGATAACCATCTTGTTTTTTTATTTCTGAGAGATCCATGAAGCCTGCAAAGAGTAATTGTAATTGAGTTGAGTATTCACATCCTTCAAGGAGTCTTTGAGATGTGGATCAAGACGATTAGTATGAATTTGTTGCATCAAAAAATTATGGCTATGTTGAAGGTTTGCTATTGAAGAGGAGAATGAAATAGAAGAGGCCCAATATTTAGATTTTATATTGCTTTTAAGCTTCTACAATTTAGAGTAAATATTAGCAATCGGAATCATAGAAGGATGAGTAATATAAATCAAAATAAGAGCTTCCCAAATCTCTAGTTTCTTGAAAAAAAAAAAAAAGAAATCTATGTTTATTATTTTCATGAGGATTGCAATAAACGACAAGAGGGGAATGATTAGAACATCTCAAATTTCCCACTTTGTAATAAGATGAAGGGAATTGCTCCAACCAATAACCATTCACCAAGGCTTTATGTAGCCTAATATGAATAGTATTGTCACTTCTTTGGTTAAACCAAGTTAAATAGTGATCAATAAAGAATAGATCCTGAACACCAATGTTATAAATAAGGTTATTAAATTCCCACAGTTTGCTATTGGGAATGAAAATTTTCCCAAAATTTTCATCAGAAAACCTACAATAATTAAAATTACCCAGCAACGCCCAAGGTGTTGAAATTCCAGTCTCCGTAGAAAGGATATCATTTCATAAAACATTTCTTTCAGCTTGAAAGTTTGAATTATAAATCATAACAATATAAAAAAAGAGGTAGAAGGGCCAACCGAAAGAGAGTCATGGATCATTTGTTTAGGGGAAAAGGTTGGAATAAAAGAGACGCAAGAATAAAAGAAACACAAGAAACATTTTGTTTTAGCTAAATCCTCCCTGGATTAGAAACATCAAATTTGTTACAGCTAGCTTCATTCTAAAAAAATTTATGGTTGGCAGAGAAATAACGATCATCAATCATGGATGAGTGAACCTTTGCTTCAAGAATACACATCATTCCTAAATTCATAGTATGAATCGAAAAAGTTCTTTACGGTTTATAACTTTTTTAGGACTATTAAATCCTCTAAAATTCAAGGATGTAATGTTAAGTAAGTTCATTAGGACTTTGTAAAGGGGTTGGGTGCCTTCTTAGCTTTTTTAGATTAATAAGCTTAGCTGATTGAATGGCATGAAAGACTATCTGGATAGGGACCTTAAAGGAATGTTTTGCAGGGTTAAGGTTATATAATGGTTCCTTAGATTGCAAAGGTTGGAACTACTTTTGGGTAGAAAGAATATTAGATTTTTTAGGTGTGTGCAAAAATAAAAGGTTTAGGATGAGGTGGGAGTCTTCAGTTGAGGAGTTTATGTTAGGGATATTAACCTTGACAACAGAGTAAGAAACTTCCGTTTGTTGAACAACAACAAAAGAAATGGGTAGGACCTCCATAACATTAGATGTTGTATCTGAGGCGAAGGTGGTAGCTTGGGGTTGGGAGGTCATAAGAATAGAGACAAGGGGGAGCTGGGGGGTTCGATTGTGCATTCACTATACATGTCACAAAAGAAGGGGTTAGGGTTTGTTATGCTAGGATTTTTTACAAACCCCAACCGTCTTGGTTCTTCCCTCACCCTTCCTGCTGGGAGTCTCTCTCCTCCTAGCTTTCCTCTTCCCCTCCCTCTTCCCCCATAGATGGCTTCTTCCACTTACTCCCCACCTCTTTCCATTCTGAACCCTCTTGGAAACCCTTCTTTCCACTCTGAACCCTCTTGGAAACCCTTCTTCCCAGCCAACCTCTGAACCTAAGTTCCTCAATTAGAAGGGGCTTTTGAGTGCTTGTAACTCTTCTTCTAAATACTTCCCCCTTTTCTTTGCCCCCATGGATAAGATTGTGTTTTTCTATGAAAAAGGAGGTTTCAAATGGCTCCAAAGATTGAGGTTTGACTCTAGTATGCTACTTTATAGGTCGGAGGCCATACTATGAGGCTCTTCGCTCTGCCATCTTCAAAACTTGGAAACTCAAAGGTACACTCACTATTCTCTCTTTAAGTGAGCGGTTCTTCTTGCTTAAGTTCTCTTCCCCTGAAGAATTTAACTTAGCGTGGATGGGGGGCCGTGGTTTTTCTTGGGGAAATTTTCATTCTCCAAAACTAGTCGTATATGTTTAGAACAAAGCGTGAGGAGTTCTCCAATATGGATTAAAATTTTGGACTTACCTATTATCCGTTGGAACCCAAAGGGAATCTTTAAAATTATGAGTGTTGTTTGCTCTCCCATTGTTGTTAATGCTTTAACACCTGAAAAAATTATGAGTGTTGCTGGAAAAAATATAAACCTTGAAATCCTATATGACTAGAAGCTTATCCCCTGCTTTAGCTGTCCGTTTTGCAAATCGATTTCACCAAATTTTTTTAAATAAAATAAGTTATTTTAAGGATATTTTACTGTAATTTTTTAAGCCCTTGAAGGATTTATATGAATTTTGTACTAAAATTAATTTAATTAAATAATTATATTAATACTATATTATTATAAATATCTTTAGTCACTAAAATATTTTATTATTATTATTCATTTCTCCATTTTTTTGTATTTGTTTTCTCATGCCAGAGAGCAAGTTAAGGAAAAATAAGAGAGAAATATGAGTAGATAAAAAGAAATCTAGGATTTGAAGGCTGTAAAGTAATTTTTTGTCTAACGACCTTGTTGGAAAATTTGCTCGTCTCATTATAAGGAACCAATCGTATTTCTAATTTCAATAATTTGATTATTTTGAGATTTTTTCGATCAAATTTGTATTTTCGTTACTAAAAAAATAAGGATACTTTTGTACGTATTGATGAAACTCTCACCGCATAATTTTTTTATATGTTATAGATATTGAGATTATGAATGTTTTGAGTACTTATTTAAGATTTTTTTACGACATGATTTAAAAAATAGAGATTTTTATCAATTCAATTTATTTTAATACCTAAAAATAGTGCTTTAACTGATACTTGTGACACTTAATTTTTGTCTTCTATGGGTGACACTTATTTTAAGTCTTTCATTATGCTTCAAAAACCATTTAAAAATGACTATATGCTAAGTCAACATCAGTTATAGCCAGCAGTTTGGAAAGCTATGAATTTTTACATCAAAATCCGTATAAAACTGTAAATTACAAAAACAACTAAAATTTACAACATTACCAACAAAATCTATTTTATTAAGTCTAAAGCATATCTTAAAGAAGCTTCATGCATATTTACAACCATAAACAATACATAAAGCAGTGCAACTTCATGATCTCCATAAAAGCAATATCAGCTTGAGTTCTGAACAAATAACATTGCACATCAACTAACATCATATGACCCATCATAGCTTTACTGCTTCCCATGTGGCCATTCTGAAGAAGAAAATGCAAAAGACAAACAAAATCCAAATCAGGAAAACGAACATGGACATACCTTAGGTCTCATGAAAAGGTAGTGAAGCCCAGTTATCAAAAGTGTTTGACTAAATGCCTAAACCACTCTCATGTGACCAAATAGATGGGGCCAAATGCATGAGAACAAGAAGAGTAATTTCTACTGCCAAGGCACATGTAAGGAGTCTCTGTCTCCTCTTCCTTTGTCTGTGCAAACCAAGAAGCAAGTGGCCCCGACGCTGGCTTCCGAATGCTCCGGCGAAGGTGGCTGGAGGCTTCTGCTTTTCCACCAGTTATTGGTCCTGAATGTGAACCATTGATTCTTCCATGTTCTTCTTTCTGGGCTGAGCTCTTCTTATCAGATTTCCTCCACAAGAATGATAGCGATCTCTTCCATGACTTCTTCCCCTTACGAGTTTCGACTTCATCCGTCTTCGCGGGCGACGAATGGAATTTGGTTTCAAACTCATTCTTTCTTGCTTCCTTCAAGATCTGATTCCAAAAGGAGCTATGAATCCAAAAGTCCATAGTCATACATGAATTGAGCATAATTTTAAAACTGTGCTTCAACTGATAAGCTTATAATTTAAATCTATAAAAGTAAAAGATAACTCATGAGAAAATCTATAAAAGGTGTCTATCCAATTGCTTTGATTTATCAGTGCATTTACAGAGAAGCTATTTCTGAGACAATAAAGACAACCAGACTACTATTTCAGATCCACACTCCTGTTGAGAAAATTGTCTGTTCAGTCAATTCAGTTTTATAGAACATCACAAAGGACAAAAAAAAAAAGGATTCTGAAAAGGGAATGGTGGATATAGTAAGTAAATGGATTACCAAAGCAAAATCTTCACAAGGATCATAGCAAGCTTCATCACAGCTCCAACCTTCATCCCTTGGGTAAATAGGAAGGCTATTCATCTTTCCCTAAAAGGCAAGCAAGGAAGAAAACTTAAGTAAAAGCTGTAAGGCTACAAGTTTGAGAAGTGCAGAAGGCCAATACAGTATGCTTAGTAGAGAACTAGAAATGGTTGGAATATATTCTTTATTCAGTAAGGAGTAACCCTCATTATGATCTTAGAAGACGATTTACTTTACCTTTCTGCCAGAGAAGAGATGTGGGTGAAGGCCAATAAACTTCCATTGAATATGAAGAAGACAGGAATGGCATTTATATACATGTATCTTGAGAATTTTTGCATTATGCCCTTGACAATCATTAAAATTACATAGAAAGGGTAGAAATATAGGAGAAAACAGTATTGTGCACACTTTATCTTGTTATGACAATCTCTGCAACTATTTTGAAAATATAGAACTTGCTGAGTACTGTATGTAATTCGAGAATTGCAAGATTATCATGATAATAAATCAATTGATGGCAATGAATTACACATTTCTTTTTGTAAGAAAAAATATGTTTTTTTTTTAAATATAGTACAATTAGTCTTAAATGTCATTAAATTTAAAATATATGTCATTCATGATGGTTAAAAATTGATCAAAAATATTTTTTTTTTTTTATAATTTCTTTATTTGGACCGGATTGAATTGATTTTGTTATTATTGGGTTAGACGATCACTTTGACTATAAATTTGTTGAGATTTGAGTTTCGATGGTCCTGCGTTTAGTTTCGGAAGTTGTCAACTAAGATATGCTTTGAGATTCGTGCTGGATCAAAGCGATTTTTGGTGACAATCAATAAACTATTTTCCATTTAAAGTCTCCAACTAGTTTTTGCCTCGAGATTCGTGCCTGATCAAGCTAATTTTGTGATGATGTATCAATTATAAATATAGTTTAATATTCAAATATAACTAGAAAAAAACTCATAAATCAATAATTAAAGTTTAAACTATAAAAAACAATGAAAATAAGCACTTCATATTTATTAATTTATAGATTCAAACATTAATTTAATAAATTAGATGCTTATAAAAAATTAGAGTACATTTGGGTGAGTTTTTCATTGCATTATTTTTCCACACAACAGTCAAAATTTTATTTGGCTATTTCTAAAAAAAAATTATAATGGAAAATAACATTTGTAATCATAATAACTAAGATTTTATTTGAGACTGAATTTTTACTGTTTTCTAAAAAAAAAAATTCTAATACTAAAATTTTGAATTTATACTAAAAATTTAGTTTAAAATATAGTAAAAAAAAGATCCAAATAAAAATATAATTTTTACATAATAATTTCAAACGTTTAGTTGATCCTGAATTTAATTTTTGAAGTTTTCGTGTTGTTTTTGTCTCGAGATTCGTGTCCGATCAAGATAATTTTTTGGTGAATATCACTTACTCTTTTCTAAAAAAAATTCTAGTAATAAAATTTTTAATTTATAAAAAAATTTATACTAAAAATTTAGTTTAAAAAATAGTAAAAAAAAAAATCCAAATAAAAATATAATGTTTACATAATAATTTCAATCCATAATCCAACGAATTCATGGGTGAAGAAGTAGTAAAAGTTTTTGGAAAATTGGAGCTCCGAGCGATCTGTGCAAAAGATGCATTTATACGGACAACAAAGATAAAGTAACCTTAAATTACGCCAAATCAAAAAATAAAGATAATTTATTATATGTTCAGCTGCATATTTGATAATATACGGGCTTCCGCATACTTTTTTTTGTTCGTTTGAAGGGCTCAATGAATTAATGATGGGGCTTACATCAATTAGTTTGCAGCAGAAAGTAACAGCCCTTAATTTTCATTAAATGGATTATCACATTTTTTACATTCAGTTATTTAATTATTGATGTACGATCCTTCTGCGGAGACAGAAGCACGAAGGAGGATAGCGCGTGCACCCAACAGGCATTGCAGAAAAGAACATGCGATATGCTCCTTGTTGAGCACTCATAAATGAGTTTGGTATTATCAATCAATTTTCATAGTTGTCTTTCATACCTATTGTTGTTTAGCTTAGTTGATGGGTGAGTACGATTGAGAATCTCTTAACTCATATTTGATTCCCCGCGAGCGGCAATACCTCTAAATGAAATTATTAGGTCCTCCCACCTGACGTAGAGATACGTCCTTCCACTGCCAAAAAACTCAGTTTTTGCTCAGTATTACTAGGTATTATTTGGTAATAACGAGGAATATCATCATGCGAAGACCAATACCGAGTTATACCGAGCTATACCGAGCAATACAAAGAAATACCTAGTTTTTTCTAGGAAAAACTAGGTATTTCTTTGTATTGCTCGGTATTGCTCGGTATAGGTCGGTATAACTCGGTATTGGTCTTCACATGATGATATTCCTCGTTATTGTTTGGTATTGCTCGGTATTTGCTCGGATATCACATATTGCGCATCATCATTGAAGACAAAGAGCTTGCAAGGGGAGTTTGTTTGAAAGCAACAAAAGATGGTGAAAGAGTTGGCTTAATTGTAAGGTCATGATGTGGAGGCTTTTGAACCATAATAATTGAGTTGTAATATTGGATTTGACTCGTCCATAAATGACAATCAATACGAATTGTAGGAGAGGTGATAATCTACCTACAAGTCATAAAAAAAAAAAAAAAAAAAAAATCTTCAATTGTTATTCTTATTTCTTCTTAGTTTCTAATAGTTATTTTAATATGAAAGATTAAAAATTTGTTTGAGATAACTAAAATATTTTATTAAGTCGCTTATAAAATTGCTGTAGAGAGAATAACTTTATTATTATGATTGGAGAAAATAAATTTTCACTAAATTTTTTTTTAACAGTAAAAGAAATAGTAAGAAAATAGTACCCAAATAAAATTGAGATTACTATTTGTAAAGGGCCTATGAGTCATGTGGATGAATTGAATATACAGTATATAAGTCTACCAACTTTGTTTATGATGAAGGGTTTATGGGTCATCAGAAGCAAATAGATAAACCACTATTTATTCAATAGGAAAATCAAAGGATGTTGCTCCGAACAACTTAGGCTTCGTTTGGAAATGTTTTCTTACTACTTATTAAAAACAATTTTTTAGTATAAAATTTTTAATTTTTATACTAAAAAAATGCTTCCAGAAAAAGTAAAAAATCATCCCAAACAAAACCTTAATCTTATCAAGAAGATTAAGATTAAGATTAAATTTTTTAATTTTCTTAATGCTTAAAAATTGTCTAAATTTTATTCTTCTAATATTCCCTATTTCTTAAAATGGACAAGAGAAACGTGTATTTTATACACATTTATATTTATTGGGATCTAACTTCTCTCTCTATGTAGCTCTACGGTTTGATTCATTTATCCAACAAAATTTAAATATCATCAAGTTCTAAAAATATTAAACCAAATGACAAATTCGACTTCATCATTTACCAACTTTTTTTTTTTTTAATAAATTTAGAGTTTTTTGTTATTTTCTAAAACAGCTTTATAATAAAAAAAAAATTCTAATCCAAAATTTTTTTGTACTACAAAGCTACTTTAGGCTACATTAGGCTTAATTTGTTATTTTCTAAAACAATTTTTTAGTAAACAAATTTTTTAAATTTGAAATTTTTTATACCAAAAAGCCATTTTAAAAAGAATTACGAAAACTATCCCAAACGAGAAAAAGCCTTAGAAAACAGAAAAAAAAAAAAAAAAAACTATTCCAAATGAAGCCTAAATTCTAAAAGGCTCATAAGCAAACCACTTCAAATTATTAACAAAAATATTGTAGATACTAGATGGTATAAATAGCTGAATTACAAGAGGAGAATTATTTAGATCTATTATGCAAGGGATGGACATACACAATGTTGAGTCACAGCAAACATATCTAACTTCAGAAAATGTTCAGATACCAACCATTCATTAGAAAGATTATATATTACATTAAGGCTTTCGTTTGGGACAACTTTTTTCCTATATCTTAAAATAACTTTTTAATATAAAATTAAAAATTTTATACTAAAAAACTACTTTAAAAAGCAGCTGCCATGATATAAATGCTTTTCCAAAAGCACTTATTTCTATCCGGATTATCCACCATATTGCAAGATGCCGACCTTCAAATATTAAGAGAACAATCTGTTCTTCATAATGAAGCTATGTTTCATCATCATATTTCCATCATTTAGATTCCAGCAATTGTATCTCTTCCATAACGATGAACAAGAGCTCTGAGTATGAGGTGATGTTCCTTGCGCTCAGTTTGTGTATCCACCACTCTTCTCATCCCTTCCGTTCTAGATCCTCTACAACTACTGCCATTAAACTCAATAAGGTTTCCATGGTAATCAGATTTCAGGGGCTTTCCTACTGACGCCTCTTTCATTTGCATATAATCAATATTATTTATGAAAAAGAAGGTGGAGCACTTGCCAAGAGGGAATGGGTCATCACTCCTTGATCCATCTCCTCTCTTGTTGTTATAGCCAGGATAGTCTTCTATTTTGAAAGGCGCGGATTTAAACAAAGTAAGGGAGCTTCTTTCAGCAAGATCAGTAAGGTTCCAGTCGGAAAATGGAGTGCTAGTTTTGTGTCTGACATGAATTTCTCCAAAAGGCTGAAGCATTTGACTTGCATTGTAGAAGAATCCCAGTAATAACTCTTGATGCAAACTGGTAAGAAAGTACAAGGAACTTTAGTTGTAAGATTTTCAGATTCAAAACAAGAAGTACTTGAATGAAATGAAAACTATGGAAGCAATTTTATCAAGAAAGTATATTGGTAAAAAGATTTCATTTGATAAATATGGAGACCATAGTGTTACGACAATCAAACAAGCCATGTATTTTTAAAACTCGTACTTTCAGAAGAAAAGAAATTCAAATCAAATTGTTTGTACCATGCTGATTGTTTAAGCTACCGTTGGAGTTGAATAATTCTGTAGTCTATGTATTACATACAAGTAGAGCTAGAAAACAGCAATTTTAGAGAGATAAATTTTGCTCTCTTTATATTATATCTATTTTCACATTCACTTTGTATTTGAATGTCTGTTAAATTCAGAGAAATGGAAACTGAAAAAGCTTAATTTCATTACACAAAACTCTATTCATATACAAGATATCTTAATAAATAAACAAATAATTATGGAATCATGCAGAATTGCCCTATAATCCTTCATAAATCAGACACCTAACTATGAAAGGAGATAAACATGATCCAGGTGAGCCTTTCACGAATCCCCATCTTGGCCATTGGATCAAGAGTCAAGGGACAACTAGGATGGTTGGGATAGTATTTGACACTCCCCCTTAAGTTGGGGAATATATATGACATTCCCAAGTTGGTAATCAAGTTGATAATCAGTCACAGGAAGGTAGAGCTATATTAAGCAGTGCAACAATGAAGGTTGCGTTGGTTATAAATAAGATACTCCAATAAGGGAAGACCGATAATGAAAGCATAGTTGCAGGAAGAAAGAAAAAAAAAAAATCAATTTTTAGGGTTGTGACAAACTTCAGAGATAACAGTAGAAAAAACACGTCTCAAGCGGCTCAGCACTCGGCAGGCAAAATCTCCTCCCGTCTGATCGAGCTAGCCTTGGCCCAATGCAAATCAGTCATCCGACTCCACCCGAACAGTCGTATAGGTGTACGTAAGGCCTCTGATTCCTCAGGTCTGATCTGAGGAAGGAGTGTCTGTCTCGTACTCTTGCTTATCTTGGACCGAGATCCGCATGAGAGGGAACTTTCGGCCCTTTCTAGATGCGCACGGGAGATTTTGCTCAGCTCCGCTCGGTTCCGCCTGACATGCACGTAAGAAGAGCCCTTCCGCTCGATCTCTCCTCGACCTTGGTTGCATGGAGGAAGCATAAGGAATAGTGTTCCTCAAAATTCCGGCAATGAAGGCCGGTGATGGAAACTTATATTCCTCAGAATTCCAATAATGAAGGCCGATGGTGGGAACTCAAAGAACCAACAAACGCCAGCTCCTTTAGGGTAGGATAAAATACTTTTTATCTCTCTATAGCCTTCACTCAAACAGATGAGACAGAAAAAATAGTCCGCATAAAAAAAAAAACAAATGCAAAAAGAGGGGCAATGCACTCTCATGTTCTAAAAACATCATTTATTAGAATAGGACGAGATTTTGGCCTTGTCAAAAAGCTCTTAATCAACTGCAAAGCCAAACCCCTCGTCTGCGGATTGCCATTTTTTTGGCTGATTAGCGTCAATAGGAAATGAGCCTAGACATGCATCCAAACCACCATATCCCCTTGAGAAACCGGAGAAATTGTCCAAACAATCACATGAACCTTCTATTGTCCTTGATATTGTGGATTAGCTCTTAGTTTTGGTAGAAGATTATTGAGCACCTCAAGTTTTCATCGAAGATTCACCGCTAGTACAACAAATATTGCAACCTAAGATTTTGAAGGAGATTTTATGTGACCTTTCTATAGCCTTTAGTGGTAGCTTGTTGAATTGCAAAATCAGGAAGAATGTAATCTATGCACCACAAAAACAAAGTGAGCAAGAGCATCAAGTGATTTCGCAGCACTCCAATCAACTGAAGTCTTGTAAATTGGCTCTGAAATATGAGATATTAGGATTTCAATGATTTTAACAACATGTGACTCCTTGAACATTTTCGTCCAAGAGAATTGTGAGGCACTGACATCAAAAAATGCATGCTCAACGTTGTCCGTGAATCACATCAGCTAGACATCATACTGCGACTCATAGGAAACTAACACCTCTGCAAGGTGTGCGGTGAGATCTGATGTGTCAATCTTAGAGGCGGCCTTGTGGACAGTTACTTTGGGTTTCTTAGGCTTCATTTTCTCGACCTTCCTCACAACCTCTTCAACCTTCTCCTATGTCGGCTCTTCCATCTCCCTCGGCTCTGTTATCATCCTCATCAGATGTAGCCACAGCGACCAGTGGCATCAATTTAGAGGCGACAACAACAGCGAATTCAATGGTCTAGCGACATTCTTGAGCTTTCTGCTCAACCGATTAGAATATGTTGGGTCTCTCGACAGGGGGGATGCCATTTGACAACTGATTTTTGACAGCAAGGATGACCTGCTTATTCTGGCAACGGTGACGTTTGTCATAAGTTACCTTCTGCCATCTGTGGATGCTGCAGCGGAAGACCCGCCAGAATGGTCTTTGATGGCATCGGTGGCGAGGTGGGAGCCTGTGGCGAGGTCCATCTCGGTAGGGTCTCTCATCCCATGCAAAGGAATGAGACGAAAGTTGTCCAAACCCCCGTACCCACTTGATTAAGACGCAGGGTCTCTCGTCCCATGTAGTCTCACGGTCTCTTGTCCAGACGGAAGCTCTCGCTTTTCTTCTCTTGGTTCCTCCCCATATACATGCAAGAGGAGGCTATCGCGTGTGACAAGCTTCAGGGACGCAGGATCCCGCTTGGTTCCACCCCAAACACAAGCACTTGACACACTTCTCTTGTCCCGTTTGGTAGCAGGCACACGAGATGGGTTCACAAGACGTTTGTCTCTCGATCGAATGCACAGAGACTACGGGGTCTCACTCGATTCCAGACGAGACACAAGAGATGTTACCTTTCAATCAACTGCAGAGACCGCGGGATGAAGCACTCTCGCTCCCTTGGTTGGTCATACACAGGATCAAATAAGCTGGGAATCTGCTCCCTTTCATTTCTATAGGGAAGGCCTTCCCGTCAGAAAGTCTAGAAGAAAAAAAAAACTTATAATTCTGGCCAAGGAAACAAAGACTCTGATACCATCTTAAATTCATAGAATTGGAGAGTGAAAAAACTTAATTTTATTACACAAAATTATCCCTATTTATTGACCAATACAAGATATCTTAACAAAGAAATAACTACGAAAACATGCATAAATTCCCTAATATAATCTTTCCTTGATCAGCTACCCGAATATGGAAGGAGATCAGCATAATCCAGGTGAGCCTCCCACAGATCCCCATTTTCGCCATATGATCAAAAGCCAAGGAATGACTAGGATAACTAGGCCAGTATTTGACAATGTCACTTGACGTTTACCTGAACTATGAAATATCTTACTCATGTGGCATTGGTTACCTTTGACTCTTTACTAGCATTGAAACATGAATTCTCCCGAATGCAAATATATTTCACCCATTGTACATACTAAAATATTATTTTCTTGGCTTGGATATATATATATATATATATATATATATATGCATGGATGGTTACACGAGATGGATATTATAACACATTACTTTCATTTGAAGCTAGTATTATCTTTTTGAAAAAATGATGACTAGTTGTTTACAAATGATTTTTAAGATTGCTTTTTTACTTCATGAAAAAAAGAGCCAAAATGAACCATTAACTCTTTATGAAAGATCAAAATGATCACCAACTATATTAAATGACTAGTTTGGTTCCTTAGCTTCTTAAAAAAAAATCAAAACAGTCTCATAGTGGGACTATTTTCATTCTTTTTTAAGGAGTTAAAAGACAAAAATGATTCTTTATTATAGTTAGATATCATTTTGGTCATTCATAAAAAGTGAAGGGACTATTTTGATCCTTTTTCCTTATAAAAATGATCTTCAATGACCCAAAAGTATTTCAATGGAAAAAAAGTAGGGGTTAATTCTTTCTCCCCATCCCGCCTCCCTAAAATTAGGAATTGTGTAATTCTTGGACTATGGACTTCTTGAATCTTTCCCCTAAAATATTCTAATGAATTTCTCTTCTAAATATTTCCTAAAAATAAAAGTTCTTTTAATTGACTTTACAAAAGTAAGAAAGATATCAATAGAAAGAATCAAGTTGACAGTGAGTAATTGACTCTATATACCTTAAAAATCTCCCTCTTGGAGGCTGAATATTCTAACAATCAACTCCATATAATTATGTCCCTCAAAAATAAATATGATACCTCATTAACAAATATTGAGGTCAATTGAGATTGCATTAAAATTTAATATCTTCAACCACTAACTTAGGGTTTCTTTGGTTAACCATGCATAGTTGGAAGTTCAGAATTAATACAAGCCGTTAGATGAAATATTTTGGATTATATTTACAAAGGGTATCACTCTAAAAAATAATGAATCCCTAATCTCTTCATGAAGGAGGACCTAAGATGATAGATTTGAAAGAGCTACAAGGTTTAATGAATCCCATAGCTCCAAAAACCATTGCCATTCTTCCACCACTTGGTAGCCATCGTCCAAAAATCATTCACGTTGCTATTAGACCACAGCTCAACCACTAATGTCGAAGCACCATTTAACACTGCACGACCGCCACAATCTGATCACCATTAATGGACCAAAACCCGAACACTATCGTCAGACCATCGACAATTGCCATCCTAGAAACACTGCTCAATCATCACTAGTAAAACACTACTCAATCACCACCATCAGACCACCACCCAACTGATGTCATCGAACCAACACCTAACCACCGTCATAGGACTACTGTCCTGTCACCAACCATTGGTAGAAAATGATATTTTGACACTACTTCCCCACTATGGTGGTTTGACCACCATCGTCAAACTACAGTTCTTCGACCACCATTGTCTAGTTATGATCCTCCAAACACTGTCGCCCGATTAGGGTCCTCTAGCCATTGTCTTTTGATTTTGTCCTTCGACCATCATCTGTCAACTTTGATCCCCAAACTACCGTTGCATAGCCTTAATCTCTTCACCATCATCGCCTAATAATTGTCCTTCAACCACCATCATCTGACTAGGGTCTCCTAACCAGTATCACCAAAATAATTTCCTAATTACCATCATTTAATCAGAATCCTCTGATCATTGTTTCAACTGAATTTAGACTTTTAACCATTATGGCCCAACTATGATCCCCAACCATTATTGGTTGAATATCCCTTAACCACCATCACCTAAATACAGTCCCCCAACCACCGTTGTCTAACTACAGTCCCTCAACTAAATTGCCAATATGGTCAATGCAGACAGTTGGCATCAATTTTGTTTACCGACATCAACACCAGGATTTATGCTAGACGTTTTAATTAATCTTTGGTCTTTTATCCTAAAAGTAGAAAGACTGAATATATAACAAACAATCTCTTGAAAATAGCTTTCATGCCACAAGGCTCTTCTAACTTCCACCATCAAATTCATTATACAACATTTATGTCTACTACATTGTATAACATTCCCATTTATAGGAAATGACATCATCTGTAATCGACAACATACGTTAGTAGAATCATATTAACTGAGCTAAGCCCCACATTTTTTTTTAATTTGTTTTGAAATTTTCACATAAAATTTATGGTATCCCTTGCAACTCTTTTTTTTTATGTGTTATATCTTAGTACAAAACTAAGATATTAAATATTCTCTCCCTACCATTGTGAATCTTCTGGCACCGAACAATATAAATGATGAGGGCTTCTATCAGACTAATTGGAGGGTTGGTCTCTTGAATGAATGCTCAATTTTATAAAACTAGAAGACTCGAGTGATGATCATAGCTCAAAATGAAAATAGTATAGTGTGACTATTGTAACTTAAACTATATTATATTTGATTTAATATATTTACTAAATAGCTTCAGGGAAGAAGCACACCTAATCAAAACTAGTAGAATCACCCAATAGTATAATCTCAGCATCAGTACCTCTTGGCGTATACAATCAAATGAGATTTTATTTAGTTCTGCAGACCAAACTACATACAATCAAATAAGGAAATACTGTCAGCATCATTATCCTACAAATCCAAAACCCATCCAAGAGAAAAATAAAGTTCTAAAAAAAAGTTTTTACGCAATGGGTAAAGCAGGTCTGTTTTTTTTTTTTTCAAACACCATGTGATAATCGTGTTGCATTCGGATGAATGGGTAAGAAGTACATCACTGTAGACCCGATGATTCATTATCCAACCGTGGTCTTTGTTGGGTCAGGTACGAACCTCATATCCACTATCCAGCATTATCTGAGTCATATCAACAAACTTTTCTTCGGGGGCAAGTCCACCACTAAGGTATGGTAGCTTCTGCAAGAAGCTTCACTGGGTAATAATGCCGGGGCCCCACCAATGTACCAAAACTTTTGGTCCAAAAGAAAGGACCTCCACAGTCACTCATGTAGCAGAAAGATATAAAATAGTAATATTTTATCTTCGACGAAGTAATATTTTATCTTCGACGACCAATCCTTTTTATTTTAGAGATATGAATAATTCATTTAAGAGATAATTATCACACAAAACGGTTACACAAATCTGTACTATCTATGATAATGTGGCAGACATCCATTGAATTAGCTTAGTGCTCCAGAAAAGCAAATTATGCAGCACTGTTGCAGCTGAAGTAAGCTTTTTATTAAGGGATTATTTGATTGTATTTATCCCAAATATAAAATAAAAGAAATGTAAAATAAAAATATTATATTTAAATTTTCTATTTTTTTAATTTTAAACTCAAAATATTTGAAAATAAACAGCCCCAAGTAACTAAAACGTCTCCGATAGTTTACTGTAACTGAGCAGGGAAATCTGTGTAATTTAATATTGGGGAATCTGTGATGGTATGAAAAGCCTATCTATGACCACAGGAAACTACTTTATCTGATATAAATTACTAAGAAGAGTTGAACTAAACGTCAATCAGAATTGATCGTTGATATATATACCAGTGATTAAACTTATTTTTAATAAATCAAAATTTAAATTTATGAATAAAAACAAACTATTTGATACTACTACAACATCAACATCAATCTTTTTTCTCCGTTATGTTCCGCTAACAATCAAATTCTCATTTAAAACTAATAAAGAAATATCATTTCTAATATTTTCTAATCAAGTCTTTTTAGATCTACTCCCTTCTTAGCATAAGTCAAATATAATATGTCTACTTTCCTAGTCGGGATCATCGGAAGGCCGCCATTTTATGTGACCAAATCATCTAAGAAGACTCTATCTAATCATATCTTTCACTAGCCCTACCCCAACCTTTCACGTATATTAGATGTTATTTTTAAATTATCTCATAAGCATCTAAGTTCCAGTACTCTCATATATATTATAATATAATTAGTAAAGAGAATGAAAACAAGGTGGGACAACTCAACTATTATCCATTTTATAGAATATAGAAAGCAATAAATACCTGATCAGAGCAGGATTATCTTCCTTTCCGAAGAAGCCAACATGAGGGAAGTTGAAGACAATTCTATCAAACTTGTGGTTTCTTAAAAAAACTTCATCTTTCATTCGGGTTGCATCAATCTCATGTAGAATTGTTGCTCCAAACTTCTTAAGCACCTCCACATTTGATTGAGCCTTGCGGTACTTCTTCAGAAGAACATCTGCGCAAAGCAAAACCCAAGAAAAACCAACATAAAAAAGAAGGAAAACTAAAGGCAAACGGTAAATAGTATGAAGGTCTAGGCTTTAAATTTCAAAGAGTAATGAATCAAGACGAAATTGCTCTATAAGAACCGTTCAGAGTGTTAGAAGCATGTAATTAATCAACTTGTAATTACTCCTATAGGATGTCGACGCGTGTACTAGCCGTTAGTCTTTATTCTTCCTGTAGCTATTTAATACCTCTGTAATCAGTTAGAACGATACAATACAATTTACATTTCTCTGTTTTGCAAGCTTCTTGAACCCTCTCTGGGTTTCTTCATGGTATCAGAAGAAAGCTGATCCAGGGCCTGGATCAAAAATGGAACTGTTAGGCGGCGGTGAGACTAGTTCCCAAGTGCCCTGTTTTTGCAATGCATAGAATTCTTCGGCCATGGCATTCCTCCATTCAGAGAATTTGCTTGGCTCTTTAAAAATATCATCAAAATGCTTCTATTCCGTTAAATGGATACATAAATAAAAAATAATTCCATTTTCATCAAGTTTCTATCAGTAAAACACAGATTTTTGAGCAGTTGCAGCAAATCTTTTGATTTGGAGACAAAAAAAATCTAACCAGAATAAAAGAAGTCGCCAGCAAGATGCATTACAGCAAGAAGAAAGAAAAGGAACCCACCGGGCATTAAGTAAATCCCCTTGACCTCTCCATAAAAGACAGAGCAAACGCAATCGAAGGTAAGAACCCAAGAAAAAAAAGCCAAAAATGCATCAAAAAAACCCAAAGCAGAGCCAAAGAGCTATTAAGCACATCAAAATCACAAAAAATAACCCTTTTTGTCTCAAACTGGCTAGAAAGAGAGCTTCAGAGTCTGTAGAGGGAGAAGAAGAGAAAGAGAGAGGGGGAGAGAGAGAACCGTATGAGTCTAGCGAGGTTGCGACGATGTTGAAGGCAGAGCGAAAGGCAGTGGCGAGGTAGAGAGAGAAAGAGAAGTCTCCCTCTCCGACGAGAAGTATCTTTTGCGCCGAGGAATAGCAGTTTGTCCATATCGCTTCCACCATTATTTCCTCAGTTTTTTCTTCCGTCGCCACCAAGAAAGACTGTGCTGCGCGCTGCGGACGGGAAGTATGGAAAAGATTCCTCTTAATATAAAAGAAGATGGCGATGAATAATTGGAGCATTCCAGTTATAATACTACACCTTGTACACCCTCCAACGGTATAAATTTTGTATTTGAACATTCAAATTTGCATTTTGGCTCTTTTATCGACGTTTTGTACCGTGCCACGTGTAGTGGCTAATGTGGCAGTGGAGCATCGGCAATAAAATCTACGAAATATACGCGGACCAATTTTTCAGAAGGAGCAGGATTTATGCGGCATTTAGGAAAAGCAGCAGCAAATTTTAAAAATTTGAAAACGAGCCGATGCGCTATGAAGATTGGCGCATTCAAAGAATGCGTCGAACTAATAGGCGCATTCTTTGAATACGTCAATTCAAGAATGCGTCAATTCATTTCGTGAATTGTATTGAATGCGTCATGTATGTTCACGCATTGTGCTAAATGCGCCGTTTAGGATGGCATTTAATCCGGGATTCCTCATGAAATTTAATGCGGGAGGATTGAATGAGTTGGTTGGGAGGAGAGGGCCGAGGCTTATAAAATGGGGTTCTGGGTAGTGAGAAAATTCAGCTTGTGAGAGACGGATTCCGAGTTCAGAAGCAAGGTGAGTTTTACTTTTTATTTTCAGTTATGCTATGAAAATTTTTTAATTTTTTGTGTTATAGTTGTTGTGACATGTGGAGGAAAGTTTGTTATTTTGTAGTTTAGGGTTTGTATTTTGGAGAAGAACAAAAAAAATAGCAAGCATAAAGATCTACATTCATAGGGAGCTATTTTTAAAATAAGTAAATATTACGAAAAATAATAGTAGGAATTTTTTGGTGAAAATAGCAAAGATATTTTTAAAATTAGTAATTATTATCTTATAGTTTTAAGATAAATTATAATAGCTAGCAGCTCTACCACTATATCTATCAAGATTAAGAAAAATGGGACCGAATTGCTGGATTTGCTATAACTTTGTAGCAGCTTCTTCTGTGCTTCGATTTTAGGCGGTGGAGCCTTGGACGATGATGTTCGCTTTTGCTACTTTATTTTTGGACGGTCTTCGGACAACCAGGATATTGTATTATGATCTTTCTTGATGTTTATTTCTGATGACCGAGTCCTGGCTCATGCCCTTTGTGGGCCTGTGTGGGTTGTCCCTATATTTTTGACTGTTTTTGGTTTCTTTTTCACTCTCCCTGTTTTTCAAGTGGAGATTTGGTTTTTCTTGTATCTCTTTCTTTTCTTTAATATACGGGCAAAGCCCAAATTTTTCCAAAAAAATAAAAGCAGAAAGATATAAAATAGTATCTTCGACTGCCAATCCCTTTATTTTAGAGATATGAATAATTCATTTAAGAGATAATTATCACACAAAACGGTTACACAAATCTGTACTATCTATGATAATGTGGCAGACATCCATTGAATTAGCTTAGTGCTCCAAAAAATAAACTGTGCAGCACATTTTATAGGTTGGTTAAAATCTTTGATCATTAATTAAGAATTTTTAGATTTAAATTTTGTGTCTGTATTGAATACATGAATTTAAATTTTACTAAAAAATTAGTTCTAAAAACAGTAAAAAAAATTATCCCAAAAAAGTCTTAATATTTGGAAATCTATGATGGTATGAAGCCTATGAGCAGAGAAAATTACTTTATCTAATATAAATTTATAAGAAGAGTTGAACTAAAGGTCAATCAGGATATATCAGTGATTAAACCTATTTTTAATAAATAAAAATTTAAATTTATGAATAAAATCAAATTACTTGATGTTATTTTTTAATTATCTCATACTCATCTAAGTTCAATACTCCCATATATATTAGACTATAATAAGTAAATAAGACAATGAAAACAAAGTGGGACAACTCAAGTATTATGCTTTTTTTTTGGAACAGGGTATCCATTGGCTTGGCTGTCGTCTCTGAAATTGCGCTTAGTGGTATGACTGATCTTCGGTTGACCTAGAAGAGACACACCCCAAAAACCTCCTAACCTGCACTTAATTGGACATCACTTAAGAGGCGCTGCTGTTCGAGAGGAATCGAGAATGAGTTCGAGATTCCAAAATGTACTCGCCCACCAACTAAACTAAGCAAGTGTGGGTGTGTAATATGCATTTTATAGAATATAGAAAGCAGCAACAATAAATACCTGATCAGAGCAGGATTATCTTCCTTGCCGAAGAAGCCAACATGAGGGAAGTTGAAGATAATTCTATCAAACTTGTGGTTTCTTAAAAAAACATCATCTTTCAATCGGGTTGCATCAATCTCATGTAGAATTGTTGCTCCCACCTTCTTAAGCACCTCCACATTTGATTGAGCCTTGGGGTACTTCTTCAGAAGAACAGCTGCACAAAGCAAATCCCAAGCAAAATTAGCATAAAAAAGAAGGAAAACTAAAGGCAAAGGGTAAATAGTATGAAGGTTTAGGCTTTAAATTTCAAAGGGTAATGAATCAAGATGAAATTGCTCTATAAGAACCGTTCAGAGTAGCTAAAGACTGAAAGAGTACCATTTAAGCTCTTTAAAAATATCATCAAAATGCTTCTATTCCTTTAAATGGATACATAAATAAAAAATAATCCCATTTTCATCAAGTTTCTATCAGTAAAACACAGATTTTTGAGCAGTTTGCAGCAAATCTTTTGATTTGGAGACAAAAAAAATCAAACCAGAACAAAAGAAGTCGCCAGCAAGATGCATTACAGCAAGAAGAAAGAAAAGGAACCCACCGGATAATCATTTAGCCTTGAAGACCAACACATACGCATTAAGAAAATCCCCTTGACCTCTCCATAAAAGACAGCTAATGCTATCGAAGGTGAGAATCCAAGAAAAAAAAATCAAAAAATGCATCAAGAAAACCCAAAGCAAAGCCAAAGAGCTAATAAGCACATTAAAATCACAAAAAATAACCCTTATCGTCTCAAACAGATTGGAAAGAGAGCTACAGAGTCTGCAGAGAGAAAGGTAGAGAAAGAGAGGGGGAGAGAGAGAGAGAGAACCGTATGAGTCTAGCGAGGTTGCGACGATGTTGAAGGCAGAGCCAAAGGCAGTGGCGAGGTAGAGAGAGAAAGAGAAGTCTCCCTCTCCGACGAGAAGTATCTTTTGCGCCGAGCAATAACGGTTTGTCCACATCGCTTCCACCATTATTTCCTCAATTTTTTCTTCCGTCGCCACCAAGAAAGACTGTGCTGCACGCTGCGGACGGAAAATATGGAAAAGTTTCCTCTTAATATAGAAGATGGCGATGAATAAATTGGAGCATTCCAGATGTTGATGCATTATAGAATTGACGCATTCTTTGCCTATTTGTTCAGCGCATTCGAATGCGCCAATCTTGACAGGGCATGTACTCGTTTTCAAATTTTTAAAATTTGCTGCTGCTTTTCCTAAATGCCGCATAAATCCTGCTCTTTTGAAAAATTGGCCACACAAAAATATGACATTAGCCATTACAATATTCGGTCCGCGTTAGATTTTATTGCCGATGCTCCACTGCCACATTAGCCACTACAGGTGGCACGGTACAAAACGTCGATAAAAGAGCTGTATATGGGATACACGAATTGCAAATTTGAATGTTCCAATACAAAATTTATACCGTTGGAGGGTGTACAAGGTGTAGTATTATAACCGGAATGCTCCAATTATTCATCGCCATCTTCTTTTTTATATTAAGAGGAAACTTTTCCATACTTCCCGTCCGCAGCGCGGAGCAGTCTTTCTTGGTGGCGACGGAAGAAAAAATTGAGGAAATAATGGCGGAAGCCATGTGGATAAACTGTTATTGCTCGGCGCAAAAGATACTTCTCGTCGGAGAGGGAGACTTCTCTTTCTTTCTCTACCTCGCCACTGTCTTTGGCTCTGCCTTCAACATCGTCGCAACCTCACTAGACTCATACGGTTCTCTCGCTCCCCCTCTCTCTTTCTCTACTTCTCTCTCTACTTCTCTCTCTCTACATACTCTGAAGCTCTCTTTCTAGCCAGTTTGAGACAAAAAGGGTTATTTTTTGTGATTTTATGTGCTTATTAGCTCTTTGGCTCTGCTTTGGGTTTTCTTGATGCATTTTTGGTTTTTTTTTTCTTGGGTTCTCACCTTCGATTGCTTTTGCTCTGTCTTTTATGGAGAGGTCAAGGGGATTTACTTAATAAGCCCATTAAAATCACAAAAAATAACCCTTTTCGTCTCAAACAGATTGGAAAGAGAGCTACAGAGTCTGCAGAGAGAGAAGTAGATAAAGAGAGAGGGGGAGAGAGAGAACCGTATGAGTCTAGCGAGGTTGCGGCGATGTTGAAGGCAGAGCCAAAGGCAGTGGCGAGGTAGAGAGAGAAAGAGAAGTCTCCCTCTCCGACGAGAGCAAAATCCCCTTAATCATTTACCCTTTGTAATTTAATGCCTACAACTTCATACTATTTACCGTTTGCCTTTAGTTTTCCTTCTTTTTTATGCTGGTTTTCCTTGGGTTTTGCTTTGCGCAGATGTTTTTCCGAAGAAGTACCGCAAGGCTCAATCAAATGTGGAGGTGCTTAAGAAGGTGGGAGCAACAATTCTACATGAGATCGATGCAACCCAAATGAAAGATGAAGTTTTTTTGAAGAAACCACAAGTTTGATATAATTGTCTTCAACTCCCTCATGTTGGCTTCAAGGGCAAGGAAGATAATCCTGCTCTGATCAGGCATTTCCCCGGAAAAAAAAATTGTTAAAAAAAAAAGTTTATTAATAAAATTTGTCAAATGAATAAAATTTTATCTCAAAATAGTGCAGTATCTTTTTATGTCCTGTCCTATTTTAATGCAATAGTTCATTAATATTAAAGAGAAAGAATCTATAGAAATATATTTCAGAATATTTAAGAGAATTATTTCTCCTTGGTATGTAAAATATTAATAAGAACTTCTTTTATAATATCATGAATATGCATTCCCACTATAGTAACATGCAATATATGTATTTTTTGTGGTCCTATTATGTTATACTAAAGAAGCAAAATATGATAAAGTGGTAAAAAAAGTGTCATAAATTATTGGTGGGAGTATTTAATCTTATTCAAGCCAAACAAATCCTTAATCAAATTTAACCTTCTTCATTCTAATTAAAATTTTAATTTTTTTTATTTTTTTAATCTTTACAAATACAAATTTAACAGCTTAAATTATTTCTATTTTATATATTAATATCAATCTTAATTAAAATACACTTAGCGAAGATATTAACCTAATTTTTTTACTTAATTTTAATTCTTATAAATTCTTAAAATATTTACAAACCTTTTAATTAATCATATCTAATTAAATTTAAATAACATTTAAATAAAAACTCATTCCAATTATAATTTGTCTTAAGACTATAAGATAATAATTTCTAATTTTAAAATTTTATTTGCTATTTTCACCCAAAAATTCCTATTATAATTTTTCTTAATATTTACTTGTTTTAAAAATAGCTCTCTATGAATGTAGATCTTTATGTTTGCTATTTTTTTCTCTCTCACTCTCTCGCTCTGACTCCCCCTCTCTCTCTCTCTTTCTCTCTTCTTTGCATGACAGATGACCCAACGGCCAACACTCCGAAATTCACAGATCTAATAAGAGCTTTTACACTTTATCACAAATATAAAAATAACAAAATATTTACATAAAATTAAACTTTAAAATGAACAAAAGTTTAACAAAATATCCTAAAGTAACAAATTATAACAAATTTACTCGAATATAATTTTTCTACTAAAACAATAATAAATACATAGAAAATTAAAATTTAACATAAATAATTTTCAGCATAACAAAATAACAAAACATCATATTTCAATTTAATTCAACCACAAAGCAACTATAAATTAACAAACTTTCCTCCACATGTCACAACAACTATAACAAAATTTTTTTTTTTCATAGCATAACTGAAAAAAATAAAATTAAAACTCACCTTGCTTCTAAATTTGGAATCCATCTCTCACAAGCTGAATTTCCTCACTACCCAGAGTCGGTATGATATGCGTTTATGGTCATAAACATTAAGATGCGTTTATGGTCATAATATCATATGGTCATAATTTAACAAACTTTCCTCCTCCCAACCAACTCATTCAATCCTCCCACACAAAATTTCATGAGGAATCCTGGATTAAGCGGATCTAGTCTCCGCTAAACGATAGCAAAAATCGAAAATCGATGTGGCCAGCTAGAATTAATTCATGTACAATGCGCCATCCTAAACGTCACATTTAGCACAATGCGCGAACATATATGGCGCATTCAGTATAATGCACGAAATAAATTGGTGCATTCAAAGAATGCGCCTATTAGTTCGATGCATTCTTTGAATGCGCCAATCTTGACAGCGCATCTGCTCGTTTTCGAATTTTTAAAATTTGCTGATGCTTTCCCTAAATGCCGCATAAATCTTGCTCCTTCTTAAAAATTGGCCCCGAAAATACAGATGATTTTTCGTACTTCAATCGAATGATGAATGACATTAGAATTACAAAGCAAGAGGCCTTCGATTGGTTGGTGCAGCACGATGTCTCTAAATGGTCCCTATTATTGGATGAAGGATGCCGGTATGATATTATGACCATAAACGCATCTGAATGTTTTAACGGTGTTCTTAGACGTGCCTGTAGCCTTCATATATAAGGGCTAATACTGTCAATTTATTATAACCTATTTTGGTGTTATTTCTAAAGAGATTACTCGAAGCTAGAAAGTGGGTTAAGGAAGCCCAATCAATATTTGTTTCACGCACGATGATTGTGATACAAAAAGCTGAACGTGATGCTCATCGGTGTCCTGAACTAGTCATGATTAATAGAAATGAATTTGAAGTTATTGATACGTCTTCTCGAGCTAACAAGGTTGAGATCATAAGTGATGCCTTCTGTACGTGCACATATTTGAAACCACAACTGTATCATGTTCCTTGCGTTCATGGCATAATTATAGATGCCGGAGCTAGGCGGGATCATAATGCATTCGTAGCACCATTTTTTAAGGTTGACAACTACATCACTATGTACTCCAAATTATTCCATGTCTTCCCCCCAAAAGACCTATGGCCCACCTTTAACGAAGAGAGTGGATTAATCCCTTTACTTTCTCCAACTTTTAGGCATTGTATTGGTCGACCACGAATGAATAGGTACCGTAACACTATGGATGAGCCCTCGAGTAGCTCACACAAGACTTCTGGCTTTTGCAAACAAATAGGTCATAATAGGGCAACCTTTCCGCATAATCCTTCCTCGTCAAGGTAATCTACGTAGCATATACTTATTTGACCAATTACATATTCATTTTATTTCTTGTAACTAAATAGACTAATACATTCATCAATATTTTTTTTTTGAATTTAAGATATGGGTTATAGTGAGGCCTTGGACTTCCGTCCACAATCACCAGATTATTCTTGTCCAATCAACATGGTCCCACTACTAGCCTTACTGAACAATCAAATTTAGATGATCACTACCTAATTATCATTATCAAACTATGTCACATTTCGTCAAACAAGTGCTTTCACCAAGCAACTAACTTAAAATTGTCGCTACCGAGCTGCCATAGTTGGACTACCGCTGTCGAACCACTGCCGTTTGACCACCACCATCACATAATTATCATTGCTTAACTACTATTATTGATCTACTCTAGTAGATTCCCATATTCTTATAATTTGCCATCTCCAAATGAAATGAATAAACCTTTATAATCAATGCTCATATGGTGACATCATTTCAATTGAGTAAAGCCCCACAAATTTTTTTCTTTTCAGTTTTTTAACTTAAAAAACTTTAGGATTACTCATACTCTTTTCATTAATCTGTGAATTTCATCTAAAATTAATGCACAAAACTCCATCCCAAAACAAAACTCAATACTAATAAGAACAAATTGTATTGAGAATGTGTTCATTTGAGAATTATAAACTAAAGTATACATAGCCATTAGTAATCATGCTTAAAATCATAAATTCCTCAATGATTTTATAATTAGTGAGAAAATTCAGATCAAAATTGAAAATACTTTCAAAATTCTTTTGAAGCCAAATATGTCATTTAACCTTAAATATAACCTTAAAAATCAAGCGAACGTTAGAATTGGACTGTTTATTGCATCATACATTCATACTGAATGTGAAGATAATTATGGTCTCTAAGAGCTACCACGAGATAATACATTTGGACTAATTTTATGTTAACGAAAAGTACATTATATGAATCCTATACTTCCAATTGAGCGAAGTTAACAAGAAAAATATATTTGGAAATTGTTAAAATAATTAACTATTTTATTAGATCATATGCCCTTCCAGCACGAATTCACGGCCTAACACAATTCTGTAACACGTAATTGTAAAAAAAAAAAAAACTATTTTATTAGAATAAGATCATAAAGGGTTCACGTTTTCTCAAAGAAAAAGATTTATCAGGGCATTCTAATACGTTTATATCTAAATAAAATGCTTTTTATAGCACACATTCTTAATTTTATGTCATAAATTATTTCATAGTACAACTAAATAATTAGATAATAGAGAAAAATTATTCTATGGGATGCTGATTGTCATCCGGAGATCAACCAGAATGTGTCACATCACCCCTTCACTCGATAACGCCGCTCAGTACTGCTGACGTGATTGTACCTGATTCGCCTCCGGACATAGAGCTGCGTCTGACGTCCGCACATAATAATTTCTCAATAATAGAATAGAGTCTCCAAGTGATGTCACATGTGACACCGCCAAGAAAACTTTTGATCAAACTTATAACGCCCATAGTTCAACAACGTAGCCACAAACAGTAAAATAATATATCCAGCACCAGTAATGTAAAGGCATCCATTCACATAAACCAAACATAAGCTGATACAGTAAAGCCTATGTTCATCAATATTATATCATAAATACAAGATTGTTATTCATAAAAGGTATAATTAGGGCATAGTTCAATCCTCACCGTCAGCCTACAATAAGACATTGAACAAAGTAACAGATATTATTGAGCTGCTGCACCAATAGGGCCAGGTTAAGGATTCCTAAATTCCAAGTGCACAAATCATCTCTACATGATAATCACAACCTGTAGAGTGCAAATCAGTGAGCTAATCAAATATTTTAGAGAAAGATTAAATTGATGTAGAAGGAGAATGGTTTCAAAATGGGAGAACTTCATAATATTTGATATTGGAGCAATTTTTTCTCCTCAAAATGGCTTCCATTTGATGTGCTTCATGCAAAGAGTTCAGTAAAAAGCAGTGAAATGCCAGAAGTCAGATTTTTTTTTTTAGAGAACGATAAGCAATAATCGTAAAATCTGTGATTCGAACTCCAAATTTAGAGATAGTCGGTAGCTGCAACTCAGATCCACAATAGGAATAGAAATTCTAATACCAAACATGTTACAGGGCAGTCATTAAGAACCAGTAGGAAGAAATTAATGTATCAAGATATATTGATGCAAAATGCATTAAATATATATATATATATATATATATATATATATATATTTATTTATTAATGAACTATTGCATTAAAATAGGACAGGACATAAAAAGATACTGCACTATTTTGTGATAAAATGTTATTCATTTGACAAAGAGTATTGTTTTCCACTTTTGCTAAAATTTTATTATCGCCCAAAGAAAGATGTATGCCAAAAGTATAATGAAATTTTTTACGATATGGTTGTTGGAACACTAATTACTATTAGAAGTAATTGTGAAGTGACCAAAGAATTTTCAATGATAAAGTATTACCATTGAGTCAATATATTTTTGAATTAATTATAAAGATATTTATAAAGAATATGCTGTAGTATGCTTTTCACAAATGACATAATTCTAATCGAAAAGATATCCACTAAAATAAGTGAAAGAAAATGAAAAAAAAAAAAAAACATTTGGAACAAAGAAGGCTAACTCTCCTAACCGGGTCATCAAAAGGTCATCGTTTAATGTAACCAAACCATCTATGGAGACTCTCTCTAATCTTATATTCCAATAGAGCTACTCCAACCTTTTCACTGATATGTTTGTTCCGTATCCTAACTCTAAGAGTAAAACCACTTATCCACCTGAGCATCCTCATGTAACAACCCGAAAATGAAAAGTATTTAAAAATATGAATTTTTGAATTTCTGATTGAACTAGAGCTCTTCGGCACTGTACTTATGAGCATTGCGGAGCTAGGTTTCAGAGCACAGCGACGCCAAAGGTAGCTACAGTGTTTGAGTCTTTATTCTATAGTAATTATGGATTCAAAATATAGCGTTGCAACGCTGGATTTGAGCGCTACGGTGCTAGACCACTAACAGAGTTATTATATATATATTCTATTCTAAACCTAAGCATGAAAGTATTCCAGTGCCGCCACCTCCCCCATTTCGATCGTGACTTGTTTGGGAAAGAAAGGGATAAGAGAGAGGAAGATGAGAGAGAAAATTGATTTTTTTTGTTTTTTCATCCGTCGCTTCTGTTGTAAAAAGTGTTTGAATATTTGTAAGTAACTATCATCTTCTATTTTAGATAATTTTGATTTCTACGGATTTATCTCTCATAAATTTGCCAAAAATGCATTATCTCTTGATTGTGTAAGCTTTCACCGTATAACTTTTGATATGTCATAGATTTGATCTTTTTGAACAATATGATATGATTTTATTACATTTTTACTGATTCAATATGTGTAAAGGAATTTCTGGGTAAAATGAGTAGGGAAAAAGATAGACTTGAAATGGGTTAAACAGTGTTATACTATGATTTAACATGAGAAGATTACAAGAAAATATGTACTGAAATTATTGATATGATTGAGTTATGCAAAGAATGTAATATTGCTACTAGTTTGAATCACTTGTAAGATTTTGATTACTTGCTAAGCTTTTATGCTCATTATGTGATTTTATATGAATTCAGGTAAATGTAAGGAGCCTGTGGATTGAAGCTTAGCTGTAATAATATTTTAGTTTTTTTTTTTTTTTTTTTTTTTTTTTTTGTTATATATATTCTTTTGTAACCTATGAAAGGTATTGTATATATTGTTTTGGACACTGCCGACAGAATGTAAATATTGACTACTAAAATAATGTGAATTATATTTTTCGTTGTTTGTTGATTTTCTTTAATGCAATTAATCAGCTTTGGATGTCAAAATGATCTGGATGTTTAACGATCTGGTTATTAAATGAAAGATAAAAGAAATAGGAAGAATTCAACAAATATTTAAAAAAAAAAGAAATTCTTTTACTTCAAATTTCAGGATGCGACACCTCATCTCTGCAACACTTAAGTTAATATTATGCTTCTCTTTTAATGGACAACATTTTGCACCAAAAAGCATTAAAGGTCTCACCATCTTACATAATTTTCTCTTAATTTTGAGAGGGGCTTTTCTATCACACAACAAATTTGATGCATTCCTCTACTTCAACCATCCAACTTGGATTCTACTAATAATATCCCCATCTATTTCACCATCACTCTGAACAATAGAGCATAATAAAATGCAAGGATTCAAGACAATAAAAATTAAAAAAAAAAATAAATTAAATTTAGAAAGTAAGATTCATAAACAAATTTATAAAAGTGTAAATAGCTCAGCTATATTGCATGGATTCAAGGCAATAAAAATATTATTTGATAGCTTAGTTGAACAAGGTAGAGATGATAATGCTAAGATTGAAATGTGGAAAAATTAGGAGGGATAAATTAAAGAATAAATATATTATAGGAATGGTTGGAGCAACGACTACTAAAGGTAGTTGAAAATAAGCTTAGGAGATTTGGACATGTAAAAATGGAGAATAGAAAATACCTCCATTAGAGGGGTAGACAAAATTAGAGTCAAAGGATAAGAAAGGAAAAGGGGAAGATCTAAGATAGCAAGAATAAGTTATTCAAAATGATTTATGAAGGTTCAAAATCTCAGGCATGCAAATAGTCGATATAGGGCTAATGAGGATGAATACAAACTAAATTTAGAGAATAAGATTTATAATGAGTGGAAATATTAAATCAAGGGAATTAAAAGTAATTATATTCATTCTATTATTTCATATGTAAGTTCCATTTGTGCATATTTCAATTACACATTTAACCTTAAATAAATTGGTGCCATGAGTCAATTAAATTGTGATATATGTCACCGTCGTTAAATATTCATCTCTTGGACAAATACTTTAAATGAACATTGGCCACTATTCCCTGTTGCGGATCTATGATTTATGATTTTGATGATAGCAAATATTCTTATTTCTCTACGGCTGCCTTACGTACTAACATTTCAGGTCCACACGATCAGACTGCAATTTGAAATCAGCTCAAGATTGGGTAGACTAGGTCTGAGTCAGTTTGTACACTTTTTCCTTTCTTAAGTCTATTGTATTTAGTGTGGCTCCTGATGTATTGTAGCTTGGAAGATTTTTTTGTTGTTCCCTAAAGATTTCTATTTTTGGTAACATCGTCCGGGACGATATTTATATCGACTTGGACGATCGGTCCAAAAGAAGAAATCATAATTAGGGCATCCTCATTAAGGCATCCCTCATGAGCTGATTGGCCTGGACGATACTTGTATCGGCCAGGATGATAAGTTCAATTCAGAAAGAATCAGCCGCCATGATCAAATTAGGTATTCATTGTTTTAGGAAATCAGCCAGGACGATATAGACATCGTCGAGGACGATCTAACTCAATTATGCCTAAATTGATCTGATATCTTTGGAAAGCATTAATGGCTGATTGATACAATCACATCGTCCGGGACGATCATAGGATCGGCCAGGACGATTGCCTGGACCATTTACATCAGCCAGAATCTATTCAGGGCGATGATCAGGACGATTGAAATCAATTTTAAACTAATCGTCCGAGACGATCGTGAGATCAGCCAGGACGATGTAATCAATTTTCTTCTGATCGTCCCAAATTGTCTCAGGCTGATGAGCTGAATTTGAATTGATCGTACAGGACGATATGTTTATCGTCCTGGACGATAATGTCAGCAAAGCCGTTTTGAGATCTTCTATTTAAGCTATGACATGACACTTTGTAAGTGTCTTTGGCAGCCATTGTAGCTTCGTTCTTGTGGGGGAAACTTGAAGAGAAAGCTTGAAAGGGAGTAAGGAACGGGTGAAGTCTGAGAGGGAGAAGATCCTGTAAGGGGGGACTCAAGGGAGTGTGGAGGGGGATTCCACACGGTTGCTCCAGCAGGCTTGCACCTTAATACCGTCGGATTCAAGGCTTGTCTCGAGGGAAGTTCACCAAAGAAGAAGATCTCTTTGGTGTCTAAGGACCCAGCGACTCCGCCGCACCGGGAAAGGTGGAAGTGATTTTGTAAGGGCTTCTCCGCCTAGCTGTAGGGGCTAAAGGAGAGACACTTGTTTTAGTGCAATACTTGGAGGGTGCCTCCAAGGAGTGGACGTAGGTCAAGGTTGGACCGAACCACTATAAATCCGATGTGTTCTTTCTTATTATTTGCTTCCGCATTTAATTTCCGCATTTGTTTTATTTGTGGTGATTTTGGTTTGTACTTTGCTTAAAGTTTCTTCTTTACCAATTCACCACTCTCTTTATTTAGCCTTGGGCCAGTTCTATAGGGCTTAACATCCCTACGAATTTTCAAGTGATATCAGAGCACTTTTTAGTGTCATCTGAGCACTTTCATTCCCTTGAACAGTTAGATCTTGATAAATAAAACTCAAAACAAAGCTCTGCTTTATCACATATCACGAAGTTGATGCTTGGTGCTTTAAGGAACTACCGCTTTGTGAATGGCCCAATTGGTGCTTGAAGAAATATCTTTGATGTGATACATGCAAGGAGTTTGCGAGAGATTAAAAAGAGAATTTATTGAAAGTTAATCAATATAAAATTTATGCGTCAAATCAAAGTAAGATTTTATAAAATTCGTAGTCTTCCACTTGTTTAGGCAAAGAAGTACATGAAGATTAACCAAAACACTCTTAATCCAATACAAAGGCAATAGTAACGTAATAGCTTATAACATGAATCCGAAATTTAATATTGAGATGTTCACCTTGAAGGTTTACTCTCTCTACGGTTCTATGGCTTAGCAGGTGAAGATCTTCCACACTAGACTTGAAATAACCACTAGGAAGAAAGAGCCGAGTAGCTTGGTTGTTGGGAAGGTAGCCGGAAGTGGAGGAGGCAAGGATCATCCGATGAGGAACCACGGTGTTCTTAGTCGTTGAAACTCGATAGTCTCGGCGAGGCAGAGTAAACAATGCGGTTGACGTAGCGTTCCACCGTGCTGTCGTACCCCCAATCTGGTTCGTAGAAAGGAGATCGGAAAATATCTCTCTCCTTGGGCGTTGTAAGCAAGGCCGTGGTCGATCTCAGGATTGTCCATACACCAATGACGTGGAGGGTGAAAAATCTTCTAGGCTTCTCTTGGCTTTTATTGACATAAGAATTATAATGCTCCAAGAGAGGGAGTAGGTGAGGGAGGCGGCTCAAAGAGAGAGAGGGGCGGCTTGGGTTAGGTCCAAAGAGGTGTGGGAAGGATTTAGTAAATCTGAAATTTGAATTCAGATTTCCTAAGGGAGGGGGGAGGTAAATTGCATTTTCAAAATTTATTCCAAAAAAGGTAATAGGGGCCGGCGGTTTGGGGTGGTATTAATGGGGTATTAATGATGATTGTCACTTAATTTGGAGAGGGATTAGGCTAGGTAGAGGGGCCGGCCATATGGGTGAGGATGATTGGGATTTTCTGTTAAGTGGGCCCCAAAGAAATAAATAGGGTATTTAATTAAATCTGATTTTATTCTCAGATTTAAATAATTTGGAAGATTTCCTTGCTTAGGTTTAGGCAATAGAAAAGTATTTGAAAATCCAATTAATTAATTGAATTCTCATTAGGAAGCTTTCCTAATTACCAAATCCTATTTTAGGAAAGGGAATAATGGGCTTTGAAATTTGAATTTCAAATTTAGGGATCATGGGGAGAGGCCGGAGGCTAGGCGTATGGAAGAGGATGGGGGAGGCCGTCGGGTGGGATTGTGGTCGGTGGCTTGGGCGACTGTTGGAGGCCTGCAGACAGGTGGTGGGGGGGTTCGGTTTTAAGAGGAGGGGAAGGGGATGGGGGTTTGGGCGACCGGTGGGTAGGTGGCTAGGAGAGGAGGTGGAGTTAGGGAAAAAAAAGAAGAAAAGATCGGGGCCGCAAACCTTGGAATCCTCCGAAGGTTGATGGGTACTGCTCTCACCCACCAAGAGTCTCTCCTCTCAAGAACTCACTCAGCGATCAAGCAAGAAAACTAAAATTTCATTCATCAAAATCATCTGATACAATAGAGGAGGCCACAATATATAGACCTAAGGAAATAAAATACAATGACGCAAATGCCCCTGGGGTTACAACTCAAGACAACTCAAAGAAAAGGGTACAATCGTAAATAGTAATTAATACATAAAACATCAAAATAAAGGTTGTGGATCGTATCCATCGCTCTGTGCCTCCTGCGTTGATATACTCGTCGAAAACGTCCGTTGTTGTCCTCATCAATCTTACCACTTAATGCTTAAAATATAAGTATCGCATAGGGAAAACCTTCCAGACCAATGAATTCAAAAGAAAATTACAAACGCCAAATGTTCACCACCTGCTCTAGCTTTGTACAGTACATATAGATACACATATGGCAGAATTAAAGTAAAAAATTTGAAATCTCATTGAGAAAAGCTAGAATGTTAAACCAGCAGATTTTGCTGGAAAAAATAAAAACCAGCATCAACTAAAAGTGCATTTCAAATATACCACACCTACAGTCATTCTAAGCCCATGCTAGTGATAAACTAACTACCTGATCTTCTTCTTGTTCAGATCAGCATAAGATTTCATTTCATCTCAACCTTGACCCCTTGAAGAAATAGTTTTATAAACATGCAAAATAATCGGACCTAATATAATCACAAATGTACTGCAGCTACCGTCTAGTATAAAAACTTATTTTAAGCAGTTTGCCAGGAAAGCATGATTGTCAGATATAGATACTGATTTAGCAAAACCAACTATAACAAAAGGACTACCTTATTACAAAGCCATTTCCGCTTGCAGTGCTGCAAGCTCATCTTCTTCAGCTGTATTCTTATGAGCAGCAGGACGGAGTGGTTGCTTGCCAGATGGAACACTGTGAACTGGGGCAGCAGGAGCTGTTGTAGCCGGTGTAAGAAGTTGTGCCTCCAACTCAGCTCCCTCCAATTCCTCAAGTTCTGCTTCAAGTTCATCCTGCCAGTGCAATATAGCCATGGTTCATCATATTCAAATTAATAAAAATAAATAAATATATATTACACACCTCATCAAAATCAGCTGCAGAACCAATAGGAGCAGAGAGTGCTTCCTGAATCTGTTTCATATTCTCGGTCTGCTCATTGATTTCATCCATAGTCTTGTCAACATCATCAATGTTGCTATAACAATTAATTGAGTGAGTATCAATGAAAACTGCATCGTTTTCTTGCACAAAAAAATTGCATGAACAGCACAAAACTATGTTTACAATAATTTCCATGAAGGGATTGAAAGCTTATAGAACAGAGGCATCAATTGGTACTGCTTTCAAGAAGTTTCGCATTTTGATAAATCTGAGATATCAAAATTTTGATGTGCGGAAATGTGATGGAAAGCGTTACACTGCATGTGTACCGCTCCATGGTTTCATCACTGTGGAAAACACAATTGCATGGCAGCTTGTGTATCTCTAGGGAGGTAAAGGTGACTTCATTTCATGTACACAAAACCAGTACAATATAACCAAATTAAAATTAAATATGGATGAAAACTTCAGAAGGTAGAATAATTACTTTTCAATTAAAACATAGTAACAATAGTATAATGAGAGAGATACCAGAACCTAACCCAGATGTAACATGAATACTTATAATTCAAAGTTACAATCAGAAGATTGAATCGGGACTAGAATATATCCATTCTGAAAGGAAGATAGATGGAAAAAATTGTTCATTTCAAGAACATGCTCAACATTTTAAAACCACCAAGGTATCAACATAAGTATGAAAGAGTTGGTTACTTGTACCATTCGTAATAATTTAGTAATTAGGTACTTACGTTGCTTTCTGCATAGCCTTCATTGCTGATGCTCCGGTTCTCAAAGCATCAACAGTTTCAGTTGTAGCTTTGGCACCTTCTAACATTATCATCTGAATTAAAAAAACTTCATAAGTATAAAGATCACACGGTAACAAGACACAGCAAGAAGAAACTTATACCTGATCGTGAATTCTTAATTGAAAATTTCCTAGCTGCTCGATTTGCTGTTCATAAAGCTTCTTCCTCTTCAAACATTGTATCGCAGCTATTATATAAATTAAAATAGATAATAGTTATTTGTATGCATTAAAACTAGGAATGCCATTTTTTATCACACGTAACCATTCAGAATTGGAATCAACATCTTCAAATGTTTATTGCATGAACAAATAACCTATTTGGTTAACGATAAGAAAAACCCTATATAAAGTGAAGGGAGTGGGACCATAAGCAGGGATGCCACAGTAGATAAGAAATGAAAGGATTTTTGGGTTGCCGACTCAAAACCAATTGGCTTGAGCGTCACCAGAATGTAAGTAAATCCAGCCTCTTCATTCAAATTCATCCCAGATTAACATAACCAAACAATCAAAGTGAGCATTGTCATTTTGATTAAAACAAACAACCTTTTCAAAATTCACATCTGATTATCTCATGCATAGGTTAGACTTCATACATTCTACAAAAAGTAGCTAAGGGAACAACGAAACCCAAAAGCTGAAGCGGACACTTATTGAATAAATTTAGAAAAAAGAAGGCAAGTTTAATATATTGAAAACATGCAAAAGTCCTACAGAGCAATAAATAGTCTTCAATGCAATACTTTAGTCAACTTTTTTAAACCCATCTGCTTTAGTCAACTTTTTTAGAATGTACATAAAACCGAAAGAATGAGATTTAAAGTTCAATGATTCGACTAGGGCTAAACCTAAGGCCAAATCAAGTATATTAAAAAATATTTAAATTATTTAAATATGATCTAAATAACATAATAATAATATAATAATGATGCACTTATAAATCATGCACTAACTTACATTATAAATTTGCACCTCCAGATTATTTATGTTAGATAATTTATAATTAACAAATAGATAAAAATTAATCTTATATAATTTATAGTTAAATACATAAATTTTTTAAGAATGATTAATAAAAAAATTAATATTATTCACATTATAAAAATTAATTTAAAAATATATTTAACAACATTTAGTGCATGTGCTATGAACTTGAGAATGTTAGTGCATTTGTTATTTATCTCACATTTGGGAGCTTTATCTTAGTATTATTTACATAGTATTTTAGATTTCCAATGCATGCGTTGGCAACTCAAATAGAGTGATGGGGCTGTGAAAAATCCTTGGTTTGGCACTTGGTAGATTATTGAAGGAATTTAATGCTCACTATAAAATTAAAAATACTTTAAATTTAAATTAATTTATTTAAGCTAAATATTGTATATTAAACTTATTAAATTAATTTATTTAACTGCTTAATGGGGGGATAATTAATTTAGTTGGTTCTAAGAAATTAGGACGGGTTCAATAATACGCCAGCCGAACAGGTGATTCTTAAAGTGGGCCGAATCGAACATATGATTGGTTCATGATTGAACCAACACATTCAATCCGATTCTTATTCATGTGCAAGGCTATACCTATCCAGATGCAAATAACAAGAAAGTTGAAAAGTAAGAAAACCAAACATAATATATTTTGTTACAATGGAATTAAGATAAAATAAATATCAAACCAAATTATTCATTACAAAAATCATCTTGCTTGACAACTTGTATGATCTCAATACACTCCTGTTATACTTGAAATCGATTGTTAAGAAAGAGAAAATAAGATATATAAAATTAGATTTTGTGAAAATTTCAATAAAATGTGTATTCCTAAAACACTCTTAATTTTAATCACAAGCTGTAACTATAATTTTGTCACTTTGACTACTGGATTATTTTGTCTCATATTTAAGGAGTCCGGGACTAAATCAAACATTTTATATGGTCCGAGATTAAATAGTTCTGACAAATAATCGAGGACCATTTTGGTCTTTTCTCTTTTTATTTTTAAAAATAAAATAAACATATTGAGAATCATCATCATCATAATAATAAGCCAAAATAGTCTTCTTTCCTTTATATGCATCATCATTTTTTTCTAAATCAAAATCTTCTTTACCAACCTCAATATCTTCATGCTCAATTAAAAGAGTTTTAAGCATACATAAAGATGCATTGTCTTTTTGTTTAGATTGATCTCAAATATTGTAGGTTTCTTCATAAACACCGCTAATATTAACCTATTAAACAAATTATAAATAATACTAATATTAAATTTAAACCCTAAATCATCAAAATTAAAATAGCATGCAACAGGGTCTATATATTTACCATAAATGGTGCAACTAGCACATACCATTTCAACGCAATGAGGTGTGCCGCACCACGCTATACATCATGGAGCATGCTATTTAGTGCTATTAGCATGTATGATACCACCTTTGATCTAAACCATTTTCCCTTCTCTAACTTTTGCACATTCTATTAATCAATATTATTGATTTTGTGCATGCTCGTAACGTCAAAAAAGAGGTTCCATTACTTGATCATTAATTGATGATAATCCTACTCTAAGCAGCTCTCTAAAATAATCATTAGTTATTATGTTCCCTTTTGTTTTAGACTATAAAGTAAGATAGAATATCATCCAGCCATACATAAGCACACCACTATTTCCCACGAAGACACTCTCTCTTACAATAATACAAAGAAATAACAGTATGTTGAAAGGAACGGTAAGTTCGGATATAAATAAAAGGCTGAGAGCAATCAAAACTCAATCCTGAACACGGAAAAAACATACCTCGTTTGTTTTTGGCTCTTGTAAACTCCTTGGCCTTTTCAACTTCAGCAGCAGCCTTCTTCAGAAGAACTTTCTCTTTTTTCTCTAGCATTTCAATTGTCTAAACCGTTTGAACGGACAACGTCTCAGAGAACAGTAGACATAGCAATAATAATAATAATAATAATAATCACTCATAATTTGTGTCAGTAAGCATCGTGGAAAGTTAAGAAAACATAGACCATACAAGCAGTCAAGCATTAATATAAGACTACAATGACAGGGCTGTGGTTCATAACTTCGGAGAGTATATATATATATATATAATATGTTTGCAATGCAGTTCATCTTAACCTAGTGTATGCTCCTAACAAATAGGCGTCCTCCTCTAGCATGTCAATTTCACAAAAGTCTTATTATTCCTCATACGAACAAAACAGAGGAGCAAATCCTAGAAGCAAATTCGCATTGCATTTAAGAACATCAATCTCTTGCATTTAGGGACAGCAATCTCATAAATCTTATATCAAATCCCATGAATCAAATAAAATTTTTAAAAGTACGAGACATCTATTTCATACCAAATCCACAAATTCATCTACCTACAAGAAAACATTGATACATGACTATTGAAACAAATTTCCACCTTTTGTTAAAGTAAGAAATAGTTACATTTGTTCTCCTTTGAATCTTCAAAAAGATAGAACTCAATAAGGTATCTAAGATAAAGCCACATAAAAAACAACGACGCCAACAGGGTAGAACAACCAAAACAAGCTGTTTCAGTACAGGAAACAAATCCATGTTGAAATTTGCAATAATAAAAACCAATCTTCTTGCAAAAAATAATTAATTCTGATAATCAAATTTGCACAGCTGATGCATCTTTATAACAAACCATTAACAACCACCATAAGTGATGTAGTTTAACGGCCAAAAACAAACTAGCAAGATATGTCTATAAATAAAATTTTGAATGGAAGGAGAATGGCATAATGAAAGAATGACAGTAATATCAAAAAATTCGTTTAAGAAGCACCAAATGAAAGAATGACAGTAACATCAAAAATTAAAGCTTTAATATAAGAAGCGCTGAAAGATATATGATAATCTCAGAAAAAATAAAAAAATAAGTGAACATAGGGTTACTTGATTGAACTTTCACAAAGTAGCAAGAGTAGTACCAGGAAAAGAAAAAATAACAGAAGAATATAGCAATTAAAAGAAGAATTTGATGTCATGCAAAAGAGAAACAAACGAGGCTTTAAGTGAGTCAAAAAATAACAAAAGATAATGATAAGTGTAACACGGAATGGTATTCCAGAAAACTAGCAGAATAGAGGATTTGTTATCTCTTTACAAAAAAAAAAGGAAAGAAAGAAATTTTGGTTGAGCATTTTAGGTTTTCCTGCAAGACTTAACCTCTAACAGTAGCGTGAAGTGAACGAATGCATCAGACTTGTTGTGTGATAGAAATGTCCCCCTCAAACTTAGAGGAAAATTTTATGAGATGGTGATTAGACATGTAATGCTTTATGGTGCATAATGTTAGTCATTAAAAGAGAAGCATAATATTAAGTTAAGTGTTGCAAAGATGAGGATGCTCAGGTGGATGAGTGGCTTTACTCTTAATGATAGGATACAAAATTAATATATACGTGAAAAGGTTGGAGCAGCTCCAATGGAAGATAAGATTAGAGAGAGTCGCCTTAGATGGTTTGGTCACATAAAACGGCGGCCTTCTGATGACCCGGTTAGGAAAAGATGTATTAGATTTGACTTATGTTAAAAAAGATAAAGACAAACCTAAATAGACTTGGCTTTAAAATATTATAAATGACATTTCTTTATTAGATTTAAACGAGAAATTAACTTTTAACATGGCACAATGGAGAAAAAGGATTCATGTAGCTGGCCCCACATAATAGGATAAAGACTTGTTGTTGTTGTTGTTATATTATTATTATAATTATTATTTCTTAGAATTTTATCCTTTGATAAGAATCATTGCTTTCCCAAATGAGAAAAGTTAAGGGTTGATGTTAAGTTGATAACCAACTATAAAAATCGTCAAAACTAATGGAATGAATCTAAATATGAAAATTCTTAGCATCCAAAAGTGATGCATCATGATCTAGCATGCTCATGGTGATAAGTACGCAAGAGTCTATTAGGATGTCACCCTAAATGGTGTGCTGCAACTTAGGTTGATTGATGTGAAAAGTAGGAAATGTTAAGGTAGGACATCACACTTAAGTGATGAGCACAACTTAACCTGATTATGATGAGGCATAAGGATTGATTAGGTCTAAATCTAAGGTTAGATTTGTTATATAGAATTTAAGGGCTTTAAATGAGAAGTTAAGAGAATTCATGTCAGCAATGATTAAAAGAAGAATAAATATTACTTGTTTACAAGAAACTGGATGAAAAAAAAAAAAGCAAAAATAAAATGACATTGGGAAGGCCATAAGTTATTGCACATTGAAAAGATTAATAAAAAGAACAAGATTGAAAGAATAGTGGAAAGGTTTGTGATAAATTGGTAAATGCTTGTGATAATAATAATAATAATAATAATAATAATAATAATAATAATAATAATATCCATATGCTAGCTAGAAGATTAAATAGTTTAGGTGAATAGACTATTGATAGAGCGATTGCTATTAAGATAATTATTAACAAAACATTATGAATGTGGTAAATGCTTGTGCATCTTAAGTTAGATTAGAATATAGTTTTAAATTTTAATTTTGGAAAGAAATTATTGATTACATAATTTTGGATCTATGTATTGGACAGTAAAAAAGTCATTGATATCTAAGTTGAATGTAGCAAAAAAGAGGATGTTAAAATGAACAGTGGAAGAATTTAAAAAAAAAATAAGATTAAAAATTATTAAATAATAGAAATGATTGAAGTGACATCCATTGAAGATAAGATAATCGAATATAAACTTGAGTGATTTAGGGGTTGTTTGGATTCAAGTAAGATTTAGTAAATCTTGGAAATCCGAATTTATTAAATCATGAGCAAATATTACAAACTGTTTGGCTTGAAAGATGTTAAATCCTAGTAAATCATGCGAAACTGTTTAGCAACATAACTCAAGATTTAAGGAAATTAATTCATTGAAAATGTAATTCTAATAAAATAATACTAATTATTTATTAAATAATAATTAATTATTAATTAATAAAATATTAAACTAAAGATAGAAACACAAAAAAAATTAACCTCTAACTTTTAAACATAAACCTAAAAATCAATTATAACTACACGAAAAATTGAATTGTCATATTATCCAATTGGTTGGTTCTCTTTTCCTGTGACCTACTATGAATTATTATTTTTCTTTGCATTAGTTGTCTATTTCTATAATTTCTCTTCTCTTTGGTACGTCTATGCTCTTCTTAAAGCCTTATGCCTATTTAGGGTTTGCTTTTCCTCGTCGTCATTTCCTCTTCGCATTTCTTCTTCAATGTTGCTTTGGCTTAATGTGCTTCGTTACTACTTCAGCTTCGCATATTTCGTGGGAAGTAGAGTTTTGAAAAAGTCACTAAGAAGCTTCTTAGCCTTTGATGGACCGCTGAGGCTATGCACCCCACTAAGATGGACAACGGGCAAGGAAATGAGGGGGATCAAAAGGGGAATAATTCCACCTTTAATTAATTACCATAGGAAACCAAAATTGGGAGGAAATTATGAGAGTTTATTTAGAGTAAGGGGGGCTGATTTGAATTCATATTTGGGAGAGAATTAGGAATAAATTATTTAAAGAAATGGGGCTTATTTGAATTAGGTTTATTTGATTTTCATGATGTGATTTGTGTGTTTGTTGTAATTTTTCTTTGGAGTTGTTCCTAGCAGCGCCTATAATTTGTGGAGAGCTGATCTACCTCTCGAATAGTAGATCAACTTGTATCTTGATCAAAATCTTATCAAATTGGTATAAAAGCATGATTAGGAGCCTATGACGCCGAAAAAAATGGATGATTTGAAAAAGAAACTAGGATGAGAAGTTAGCCAACTCAAATCTGAATTTGAGGAACGTATGACATCCATGGAATGAATGTTTTCTAACTTAGAGGACATGATTAAGAAAATATTGGAGCTTCACACCCAACCGGCAACATCATAGGTGAGAGCACTGGAGGGTGGCCAAGGAAATGGGGGAAACCCCAATATCAGCACAATGGGGGATGATCGAAAAGTAGAAATCTTTGGCGACAGGGAAAATATGCAACCTTTTGAACATATAAGCAGGAGGAAAATGGGTGAAGGATGTGATATGAGGAGAAATTGGGAGGAAGAAATGGTGAGGGTTGATTTTGAGTAAGAGGATATCTATGAAAGGAGGGGTGAGAGAAAAAAATGGAGAGATTACAACAATCGCCACATGTGAGGAGCCGAGGTGAGGAAGATAGGGCGGAGGGGATGCGAGAGTGTGAAAACTGAATATGCTCATTTTTTAGAGAGAATATGCTCATGGGTGGATCTATAGAGCAGAGAAATACTTTGCGGTGAATGGGCTGACGGAGGAGAGTCTCACAGTGGCGGCTCTATGCTTGGAGTGGAAGGCCTTGTCTTGATATCAATGGAGAGACAGAAGATATCAAATCCGATTGTGAAGGGAGTTCAAAATAGTTTATTAGAACGTTTTCGAACTAGTTGGGAAAGAGACTTTTACGAGCAGTTCTTTGCCCTAGTTCAAGAAGGGACAATGATGGATTATCAACAGAGGTTTGGGTACCTTTCTAATCGATTGGAGAGGCTATTTGAGAAGTGTTGGAGGGGAATTTCATGAAAGGGTTCAAGCCAGATATTAGGACCGATGTCCAATTATTAAGGCCATGAGGGTTGGGGGAGGCTATGGAGCTAACCTAGTCGGTGGAGGACAAAAACTCACTTTAAGGCAGCAAGGGAAGCAATACGAGAGCTTCAAACATGACGACGACAACTTTTTTGGCACCAAAGGTACAGTCTGTTCTCATTTAGAGAGAAGTGGCAAGGCTCAAGGGAAATTTCAAGTGGCTGACTAAAACATTAATTTATAGACCCCTCCCCCTCTTTGGAGAGGATGATGATTATTATGAATGAAAAAATTTGTGCACCTTGTTTCTTGGAGAGTTGTGAGATTTTGAAGTCCTTAGATAAGGGCTAGGCACT